ATCCTTAATAAAATGTAAGTCACTTCCTGTGACAGGCTCTCTCACACATTTCAAACACATCTCAGAGCCCTCGCTGTTCCTTAGACCTAGGACTTGAACTTCTTGTCACATGGCTCTTTTTCATAACTCCCACACTATCCATCCCGCAAGGAAGCGCAAGGAAAACAGGGACCTTTTTCACAGTTTTAATTCCTAAAGCATTACAGGGCCATGGTAGGAAGGTTAGAGTATGCAGTCAACTGACATGGATCCCACTGAGGTGGGGTACCAGGAAGACTTTCAGGGAGAACATTCTAGTACAAATTCAAGACTAGGGGTGGGGCGGTCACAGGTGTAGCCCAGAGCTCACCATGAGAGCCGGGTAGCAGAAGCCCTGGTCTTTAGACTACATGCTTGTAAATCTCAAAAAGGCTTTAACCCTCTCTGTACCTCAGCTTCCTACACTCAAAAGTGAGCTTTATAACAGCTACCATGGGGGACTACGGTGGTATTTAAATAAGCTAATTTGTGCTATGCTCTCAGGACAGCACAGGTGCTGCCTGGCACATAAGGAAAGGAAGGGCACCATAAGAGAGCCTGGGATCTGCAATACATCCCAGGGAGCACTCTGGGAAATGGGGAACAGAGTTTGTCTTCTGACTGAGTCACTGCTCATTTCCTGGTGTCCTGAGGCAAGCTAACTGATGTTCCCTTTGCTATTCAGCTTCTGGCTGTTGACACTGCCCCCCCCCCTTCATTTCCCCAGGTGTTTTGAACTGGAACATGGCACAGGGAGAAGGAGCCAGCCTCAGAGTATATCCATTTGAGCCTAGCCTTTAGTTCTGATGCCCAGAAAGGAGCTTACTCTCTCCTGATGTTTGAAACAGTGGTGATAAGACCTACCCTGGGTACCTTACACTTGAGGGAGATCGTTGCTGACTCCTGGAGAAATGAACGAGGCTGGTGTGGCAACTAAATATGAGAGCATTCACAAACAGTACAGTGCCTGGCACAGGCTAAGAGACAACCAACATGCCCACATGGTAGGTGCATGACACCAAAATTATACCACAATTCTGCAGAAGGAACCCAGTGTCAGACCTGAACCATTCATTCCTGTCATTTATAAATATTTTCAGTTACAGTAAATGGGTAAAGAAAACACATTGTATATATATACACAATGGAATACTACATAACCATAAAAAGAGGAATTCTATATAACAGAACCAAACACAAGTCTGTAGAGATGAGAAAAGAGAACGTGGAGCAGGGACAGAAAGAAGTTAAGAGGCAGTGAAGATTGGGAAGGATGTTGGAGGAGAAGAAAAGCAGCCTCAAGAGCAGAGGGTCGCCATGGGCACTATATGGAATACCACCGCAGACCACCAATTCATAGAATTAACAGGTGCTAATAATTACAGGCACTTTGAGTTTATCTCTTAAGAGAATAAGTTTGCTCCGTTTGTTTTTGTTGCTGTTTTGCTTCTGGTATTATCACATTCTATTTGCTGAAGGTCCAGCTCTGAACTCCTGGGCCAACTTTTTCCTGCCAGTTCAACCACCCCGATTTGCTGGTTCTGTAGTATGTTACCACAAAGCAGCCAGTAAAAGCAGCGTTTTACAGAAGCACTGGGGCTTATTAGCAGATATAGATTAGATAATGATAACTGACTTTTGGGTGGGTTCTAAGAAATTAAGGAGCCTGGAGGCATTGTCTGTTTGCACCTGGTTTTTTCCCCTGTCCCTGGTGTGTGGCTGGGCAGAGCACAGTGGGCTATAAACTTCCCCACTTAGTTCTTCATGTTGTTCTTGCACAGCACGAAAGTGGAAGTGACTGGAAGCTACACTGAGAGAGCTGACTGTTTTTGCTTGCTTTATTTTTTTTTCTTTCAGATTTTTTAATTTGAATTAGAAACAAGATTATTTTACATGACAATCCCAGTTCCCTTCTCCCTCCTGTCCTTCCCTACCACGTCCCCCAACTAAAACCCTACCTATCACATATCCTTTCTGCCCCCCCTGGATAGTGAGGCCTTCCATAGGGTGTCATCAGAATCTATCATATCCTTTGGGGTGGGCCCTAGGCCCACCCCCGTGTGTCTTGGCTCAGGGAGTATTCCTCTATATGGAATGGGTTCCCAAAGTCCACACCTATGCTAGGGATAAGTACTGAACTTCTCCAGGAGGTCCTGTAGATTTCCAAGGTTTCGTCACTGAAACCCATGTTTCTGGGGTCTGGATCAGTCCCATGCTGGTATCCCAGCTATCAGTCTGGGAAGCAAGAGTTCCCTGATGTTCAGGTCAGCTGTTTATGTAGGTTTCACCAGCCTGATCTGAACCCCTTTGCTCTTCACTAGACACAGAGAAACCCTGTCTTGAAAAACAAAACAAAACAAAACAAAACAAAAGATGCTTTTGCTTGCTTTAAAGGGGCTTTTCAAACTACTTTTTCTATATCACAAAATAAATACATGTTTGCTGTGGATAATATGACTAACTAGATAAGCTAAAACGAGAGCAACCTATCACTACTGGCTATGATCTTTCTCTAATCAATACTCTATTTCAAGATGCCACCTCCTGAGGAGTGTGTATGCAGGCAAAATCAAAATGCAAACCACACTAGATTCATTATATAACTGACTTTTAAAGTAACAAGGCATCAAGACCCAGGTCTGTAATTGTCCCTAAGGAGGCTGAGTCAGAAGGGTGTGAATTCAAAACCAGCCTGAGGGAAATGGGCTGGGAAGATGGCTCAGTTGTCATTAGCACATTGAGCTCATTCAGAGGAGCTAGTTCCTACACTGGGCAGCTCACAATGACCTGTAACTCTGATCCTCCCTCCTCTGGTCTCCATGGCCTCTGTACACATGTATATAGATGCATATGCATACACATGAATAAATACTCGGTTTTAAAAACAGCCTGAGCTATACAGTAAGACTCGGTCTCAAAAATAAATAAGAGCTAGTATATTCATCATTCATTCATTCATTCACTCGGGCAAACTAAGCAAATGATGGGTTCCAGGGGCTGAAAACAGTGTAGAAGATTAGAGAAAGAAGGATATTTAAAAACAAAATCATCTCAGGGCTGGCTGGGGCTATGGTTCATTGATACAACACTTGTCTGGCATGTGTAAGGCTCTGCACTCAAACCCCAAGCATTACACCAAAACAAAAACAAAAGCAAAATTAACTAACACTACTAAAAATGGGTGGGAAGATAGAAATAAAGAACAGTGGGTGCAGAGACAAGCCTCTGGGCTCAAGAGGTGTCAGGAAACTTCTATGGAATGGCCCAGGAACTGTTAACAGCCTCTAGCACACAGGTGTTCTGAAAGCAGGGAACACGATGACAGAAGATGGAGGGAGAAGACTCAACATTTGAAGCTGCAGTGCTACTCTGAGGTGGTGCAAACATCCAGCAGGGGTAAATCACAAAGGAGTAAGGGGGACATGTCAATGACAGTTCACTGTGGATGTGAAGCAAGGGGCTGGCATGATTTTAAGGGCAGACAGGGCAGAGAAGAAAACCATAGAGCCCAGAGTGCTGATAAGCAAAAGGCAGTGAAAAGCCTAAGATGAGCTCTTAGAAATGAGAGTGACCATTGAGGAAACCTCGGAAATCTACAGGACCTCCTGTAGTAGTTAAGTACTTATCCCTAGCATAGGTGTGGACTTTGGGAGCCCATTCCACATAGAGGAATACTCCCTGAGCCAAGACACACAGCGGTGGGCCTAGGCCCTATCCCAAAGGATACGATAGACTCTGATGACACTCTAAGGCCTCACCATCCAGGGGGAGCAGAAAGGATATGTGATAGGTAGGGTTTTAGTTGGGGGGGGGGGATGGTAGGGGAGGACGGGAGGGAGAAGGGAACTGGATTGTCATATAAAACAATCTTGTTTCTAATTCAAATAAAACAAATCTGAAAAAAAAAAAAAAGAAATGAGAGTGACCTAGAAACTGGATTCCAGGTGGCAGAATGCCTTCTACCCCCCTTCCTTAATTGTAGAGGTTACTATGGACAAGCAGGCGCTTCCAAGGGTGACATGGTTCTATTAAAAAACAGGTGAAATTTCACCATATTTTGCTTGTCTAGCACACCTCTCTCTTATTTAGAACAAGAAATCAAGTTTTTCTTGGCAACATCATTCATCTTAACCCCCACACACTCAGCCATATGGCTTGAGTTGGATTGCTCCCACTGAACCTAGTTCAGGGAGGTCCATGAACTAGGCCAGGCAAACATGGTAACCCTAATCAGGCTAACTCAGTCACTGCCTGGAGAATCTGGTGGAACCAGAGGAAAAGAACCCATTAAACCTTTCTACAATCTCGGACACTGAAGACCACATATCCCTTGAGCTGACCAAGTCCTCCCAGGATATCAGATTAAAGGCAACTCAGTGTGAACTCACACACAGAAATGTCAAACCCATAAACCTAGAAAAAGAATGGCCAGGGACAGTTTTTGAGAGGCTGGGTACAGCAACATGCTTTTAGATTTCTGAGTGATGCCAATAAATCCCTTTCCCCAATCCTATTTGAGTGAGTTTGATTTTTTTTGTCATATATAAGGGAAGAGTGCTGAAGAATTCTTAGTGAAAGATGCAGAATCCCAATACCGCTCACTATTGAATGGGATAGGCAGGCAGTACAGCACACAAGGTGCAGCCGAACACAGTAGTATGATAATGTGGCAAAAGCTTCACAAAGGAGCCCCACAGTAACAGGATGAGAGCACAAGATTATATTATATTCTATGCAAGACAAAAACAAACAAACAAACAAACAAAAAGCCAGCGTGAGCAGATGTAGGAGGGACCATGGATACTGGGACGTGAAAATGACACGCTGTACCTAGACAGAGTCCACAGAGAAAGCAGACTGTGAGGGAAGGCAAGTGCTCTGCAGGCTCAGCACTGCCTGGGATCAGGCCTCTCAGTGTACCTAGCAATTTCACTGATCAAATAATGAGGCTACAAATTGATAAAAATACTAAAACATCTTACCTGTTGATAGAACTCATCATCTTTGGGGGTCAGGTAAGGAAGCCAGGTGTCTTCAAGCTCCTCGAGGAGCCTCAGTTTCTGGTTAAAAATAAGAATTACATATTACTGAATGTAAAGTGACTTCAAACATAGGACTTCAAAATAATATATTATTTTCCAATAAAACACACACAAAAATCTTAATGAACTTGAATGTGCAAACCTTTAAAGTTCTAAATTAAGGGCCAGTTATAAAATGTATCAACTAAGTCATATACACTTTAAGTTGTAAGATGTATGAAGCATTCCTTCAAAAATAAGTCTGCTTGCTGTCACATTTTATGAGACAATTTCATTCTTCCCTCCTACATCTTTGCCATCAGGGTCTTTCTCATGACCTAAGAGACCTATGAATCAGTCCACACAGTCCTCCAGAATAAATCTTGCTGTACATATAACCTGATACACTTAAGCTCTCTGTGATACCAATCCTGGGATAGCAAATAAAGCAGAACCATCTCCTCTGAGAACACTGGGGGAGCCAGGATGCTTACCCTTCCTGTAAACACTTATCTGAATGGTCGACTTATAGTAGTGCTCTTCTTTTAGATTACTTCATTTTGTGTATGTAAGTGTTTTGCCTGCATGTATGTACGTATGTTCATCACATGCTTGTCTGGTGCCTGTAAAGGTCAGAAGAGGGTTTCTGACCTCCAGGAACCAGAGTTGCAGATGACTATAAGCTGCCTCAAGGGTGCTGGAAACAAAACCTGTGTCCTCTAGAAAAACAACATGCACTCATAACTGTAGAACCATCTCTCCAGTGTGGTGATGTCTTGCTTGTACAAATAAAGCCTTCAGAAAATGGAGCTTGCCAGTAGCTAACTATAGAGATCTGGAGGTCTGTACAGACAGACAGGAAGTGAGGTAGCTGGGCAGAAACAGGAACTCACTCTCTTATCTGCTGAGACCCTAAGGAGTTAAGGTATGGCTGTGGCTTGCTCCAGGCAGCAAGATGTCTCTGCCAACTCTAGAGTTTATATATTATCCTTCAGGGATCTTTGATGGAGTTGAAGACTGATAGATATGGTATGGTTTCCCTTAGTTACGACTAAAGATAAATTACATATAAAAGTTTAGACTCACAAAGATAGGATAAATGATAGACTATTTTCTTTACATTTTGCCAATTTTTTTTTTTTGTTTTGTTTTTCAAGACAGGGTTTCTCTGTGTAGCTTTGGAGCCTATCCTGGCACTCGCTCTGGAAACCAGGCTGGCCTCAAATTCACAGAAATCTGCCTGCCTCTGCCTCCCGAGTGCTGGGATTAAAGGCATGCACCACCAACGCCCAGCCACACTTTGCCAAATGTTAAGGGACTAAATATTGTTAATTAGAGTTCTTGCTTGATAATTGCTTTGATACATATGTATGTATACACACACACACACACACACACACACACACACACACACACACACACACACACACTTACTATGTTAAAGTTAAAATCTTTCTTTTTATTTAGAGAGAAAAGGGATGTCCTTCTATGCTGTGAATATGTTTCTCTTATTGGTTTAATAAAATGCTGATTGACCAGTAGCCAGGCAGGAAGTATATGCAGGGCTACCAGATGAGGAAAATGCTGGGAAGAGAAAGGCAGAGAGAGAGTCACAAGGGAGACTCCATGTAACCACCAAGGAGTAACATGCCAAAGCATTATGGATAAGGCACAGCCTGGTGGCAATACATAGTTTAATAGAAATGGGCTAATAATTATGAGAGAGCTAGCCAATAAGAGGCCTTAGCCATCAGCCAAACAGTTTATAATTAATATAAGCCTCTTTGTGTTTATTTGGGACTGAAGGGCAGTGGAACCAGATGGGACAGAAACTCTGTCTTCACTCGAGCCCCACATAGTGCCTTTTAAAAACTAAACTCTCATCTCTAAAACATCACCACAAATTTATGGCAAGCCTCTTTGCTTTCTTATCCAATTTTAGGAAGCATCCATCCAGCATTGTCTAAGGCTGTTTCAGGAAATCAATTCTTCTTCAGATAGCACTGACTATTAGGACAGGCAATTGTAACATGAGATTTTACAATTCTTCACCTTATATTCAGGCATATACATAGCATATATGAGTATAATGTGCATATGCACATATAGGGGCACTCGTACACACACACAGAGATGTGCATATTAATTATCTGGAAGAAAAAATAGCAGAAAGAAGTAATTTTCAAATGAAAGTGGAAATTTTAAAGTGCATCACCAGGGCCATTGTTAGGCAGCAATGAAACACTGTAAGAACAGGAAGGTGTGTCATTGCTCTGCACCAGTGTGGGCCTCCCCAAGAGAGTATGGTTTAGCAGACACAAACTGTTTTATTCCCTGCAACTCCAGAAGTCACTGACTTTACACAGTGCACCACTCACTCAACCAGATATGAGAGCCCAGAGTATTACCTCCCTCCACCCCAGGAAAGCAGCCATCACTCACAAACCTACCATAACCAGAGCAGTTCATAGAAAACACCTCCTTTTAATCCAAAATTTCTAGACCTTCTGCATTATAATCCAAAATAAATAGCACAAAGGGAATGGAAATCTAACTACTACACATACAAGAAACAATACAGCATGTTCCATTCACACATGATTCTTCTATCTAATCAGTCTTCCATTCTGATGGTATTTTCTTACCCATAATGCTAAATGACTTCCTAATTAAGGTGTGATCAGTGATCACTAGGAAAGACCTGTGATAGTAGCATAGCGAAAATCATTTAATTTACTAATCGGACAAGGCTTTATTTGCTTTCAGCAGTAGCCACTACTACAGTTATAAAAAGAACTAACGATACTTCCATGAATATACATTCTCATACTATCACTACCTTTACCAAAACCCTGCACTTTAATTTTATTTGAAGCTCAGGAAAGTATGCAGTCCTCTGTGATCCTTTTACTGGGTCTTAGAACTTTTTATAAACACAAAGCACTACAATATTTATAAATGCCACCAAAAAATTAAACACTCAATAATTCAGGAGTTCCACCTTAAAAATACCAACTTAAAAATCTCTCCATGAGAGTCTATCATTTAAGCTAATCCATGTATAAGGTATATGTTTCCAAGAGGAATTCCATCCTTCATCTAAGACAGGCTGAAGATTAAGAGATCTGCCTCATAGGCTAACAAGCATCAACAGAAGATGCAATTGTTTGTAATTAATGCTTTAAGTAAATTATTGTGAAAATAAACAGTTCAGGTAAGGAGCAGAACACCAGACATGTGTAAGACATCTAAAAGCTGTATTAACAAAGGATAAAATTCTTCAAGAACGCTCCTACTATGGATCAAGCAGAACAGCAATGGCCTTGCTCTGCAGGAATTCAAAACATTCTACATTCTGCTTCTGTTGATTTCAACACTGTAAATCACCTATTGACCGTACTATCTTACCACCAATTTAAACACATCACCTATTGATTCTTAACATGGACACTGCTACAAAACCAACTTACGCTTCAGGGCTTGTTTTAGGAAAGACACCCTCCTGTTCTTGTGCAATGACAAATTTGTAGGCAACAATCACAGACAAACATTTTGGGGTAAGGAGGGAAAACCAGCTCTGCAGGTTCCTCAGTGTTGCAGGAGATTTGTTTGTGCCTTGGTTTAGAGGGCAGGGTCCACATTCAGGTGAGAGGAGTGGACCTTAGAGTTTTCTAGCAGACTTGGAGATAGATGAATACACAAGAGGAATAAGGAGGGCCCAAAGGAGACAGGCTCTCCTTTTCTATCAGGGAGAGTGAGGTCACTGATCATTTTCTCTATCGCTCTGAGAATCTATCAGGTTTTACCCTAATATCTGACTCCTGATCATCTTTTTTTTTAAATTAATAAAACAATAAAAAAGTCATTATACGTCTGTGCCAAATGCAATCCAGTCACCACAGCACATGAGAACATGATGGCTGGAGGCAGAGGGTCTCACACTGGGTCAGCTCTGGCCAGCAGCAGTGCCTCAAAGAGCCCACACAGTGGGCCCTGCAGCATACTGCTCTGCTCACAAGCTTCTTGGCTGTCACACTTGTAACGAATATATCAAGCTACTCACAAATGCTACATAGCCAGAAAGGGCTGGGAGCCTGGCTCCCCTACCTGACAGGAGGGTCACAGAAAAGGTCCCCTCTAGCCATCCCGGGATGGCTAAGGCCCACTTCCACAGCTCCTCAAGGAAAGGGACACACAGCACCTTACATTTAAAACAATCTACAACTCATAATCATAAAAGGGTTGAGGCTGAACATCAGAAACTGTAGGCATATACTTCCACTTTGCTGGGAAAGCTGAGAGGTCTGAGCTCACGGATCTTGCCAAAGACATGATTTGAGAGTCATACAGAAATCACCAAAAAACTTAACTGGTTTATAAGTCATGATGCACAGGTGTGTCTTATGCACACAAATGGCACAAATGGAGTCTATTTTTTGTCCCACCTCTCTCTTTAGCCCCAGTAGATGATGCTGCTGACAACTCTTAGTTGTCACCTGTTTTTCATTTTCAGGTACTAGTTTGGTTGTTTTGTTTGGTGTGTGTGTATGTGTTGTTTGTTTGTTTGTTTGTTTGACAGTATGGCAGGCTAGCCTGGAACTTGCTATGAATTCTCAAATCCAAGGTATCCTCCTACCTGAGACTCCCAAGTGCTAGGATTAAAGGTATATTCCATTACACCCAGCATTCTCTGTTATAGTCTTTAAATTGTACATGATATTTTAGGCTGGTCAACAAAAATTGAATTTTATTAAAATTAATGAACCTCTACTGTACAAAATACAATGTGTATTTTGAAGCAAGTAGGAAAGTGACCTGGTCCTTAAGCAAGGTTTGAATGAGTAGGAAGATGCCTTTCAAAAGGTAGGAAGCAGCCTAACCAAAGGAAGTAAAGGTAATACATTTAATATACCATATTCCTAAAGAAAAGGAGTCTGCATTCCCATCCTCATTCTCAACAAAAATGCAGCATTGTACAAAGAAACTGGACAAGTAGATTTTGGGACACAAACTTTGTAACTTCCAAGGTGTATATATTCCTCAGTCAATCCCTTTCAACCTTGGTTTTCTTATCTGCAATGCAGCTATGAAGAAGTAAAAATCAAGCATGTGCATTATTAAATACCACAGATGGCAGGCAAGTGAAATCAGGTGAAGGGAAAGGGTGTTCTAGACAACAGAGCATGAGCTCAGGAGTCAAACTCTGAGTTCCAAGGCAAGTTCCCCAATCAAGATATGATCTGGGGCTCAGCTCCCTGCAGGGCATAAAGGAAGCAACACATACAAACAGTTAAGAGCAGTGCTTGGCACATAACAAGCCCTCAGTACACTTGGCAGCCATAATTCTCATTTACTTGTGTCTGGAAAAGTTGCATTTAATAGTTATAAACACCAACAATGGAATCTATATGAATCCACCTAATTATACTTTAGAACATAAATCAATCCTACTTAAGAACTCCAGGCACTAATTTGCCTGGACAGAATACAGGAAAAATTCAAAAACACATCCCACAAAAGTTTATATATGTGTGTGCACATGTATGTGTGTCACAGCTTAACTAGCTGTGCTATAATGGTACCTAGGGTTTAATACAAGGAAACTTGCAAAGGCTTGGAACACAGAAGAAAGCAAGGTCCGTACCAGGCTGTGCTGGGACTACTGTCACTTCCCAAGAACTACACACAGTCAATCTCACCATAGGCCACACCTTCCCAAGGCAAGAAAAATTATGTCTTGCAAAACCTTTTTAATTTTTAATATAAGAGGATCATATGAAACACAATATTTTGAATTTTTAGTTAAAATTAAACCTACTTTTCAACTTTTAAAACTAAAGCTATTCCTGAACCAGTGGCACCTCGCTGCTCTAACAGGTCTAGACTTACAAATAGGCACAAAAGAAAAACCTTGTGATTCACAAAACACCAAGAAGAACACTCACAAGGCTTTCACCACAGGACAATTAACCCTCAAATACATGCCACTCCCTTCTTCCTGACAAGCCTCAAGAGCAAGCCCTTCCAAGGACCAAACTGATTCCAAGAATGCTCAATGACTCACTTAATGAAGATAAGAAATACTTTAAATAACACCAAGAACAAGATCTACATGAAAAAACTGAAAAATACCAGACATGACAACAACATGGGCAATAGAAGACTTTACTCTTTACTAATTAAATACTTACAAAAGATACCTGATTATTTAAAATAAAAATACATACACAGAACTAAAATATATGACATGAGTTACAAAGGCCCATCATCAGATACATGCTTGTTCTTGTAAGAATCTCATATTCGAAGTGCAGAAGGCTACTCCAAGAGACCCTACTAGGATGAAGATGGATACTAGAGATGTTAAAACAAGGGCAGAGAGTTAGGGAACAATGTGAAAAAGAACATAAAAGTCCTTTGAAAAAAAGGTAGGAAGAGAAGGAGGAGGAAGCAGAAAGAAAGGAAGGAGAGAGAAAAGAAAAAAGGAAGGAAAGAAAGAACAGAAAACAAAGAGCAAATAGCAAATTAGAAGTAAATCTAAGCAGATAAATGTTTTAACATATCAAAGTGGAACCTGGCCACCAAATTCTCCCAGCAGCCCTCAGTCCTGACCTGTTACAGGGTATAGCTGGAATACTCCTTCCCTACTCTAAACTTCTCCAGCTCAGGGGATGATCTGAATTTCCACATATAGTCCAAGCATTTTGGTTACCTGGTCTCTTTTCCTCTATTCTCTTAGCCAGTTTCTTAGCCCAAGCCACCCTCTAGGTTGGTGGCTCCTCTCTTGTTCCCTCCCCCCTCTCCTCACATGGCTCAGATATCTCTGCCTATGGCTTGTTCTCCCTTTTATCCACAATAAACTTTCTCCTCCACCATATCTAGGAGTAGTCATGTCCTTCCTTTTTATTTTTTTCATTTAATAAATAATCACATCAGGGAGCTGAAAAGATGGCTCAGTGGTTAAGAGCCCTGGGTACCCTTTTAGAGAACCCTGGTTCAGTTCTCAGCACCCACATGGTGGTTCCCAATCATCTGTAACTCCAGTTGCAGGAAATCCAATGCCCTCTTCTGGCCTCCAAAGGTACCAGGCAAGTATATGATGCACAGACATAATACATACAGGCTAAACACCCATACACAGAAAAATAAATAAATTTTAATTAAAAAATCACATTAGGCTAGTGAGATGTATCAGTCAGTGAGGTTTTTGCCCTGCAAGCAAGAAGGCTTGAGTTCAGACACACACTAGATCCATGTGAAAGCCATCCTTGGCAATGAACACCTGTAATCCTGGGATTTCCCACCTATAATGTTGGGAAAGCAAAGACAGGAGACTCGGGGACTCACTGGTCAGCCTGTCTAGCCAAATCAACAGGCCCAGGTCCAGTGAGAGACCCTGTCTCAAAGAACAAGATGAGGAACAACCAAAGAATGCAGATGCTGACCTCTGCCCTCCACTGCACATGTATCTACATGTATATGAACATGCATGCAAACACATACACAGATCTATAGGATGTACCTTTTTGTTTCCTCTTTATCTTGTATTTAGGGATATTTCCCACTATATACCTTATATCCTACAGTTTCAACATAAATTGAATTTCCCCATTTAGCTTTCAAATTCACCCTTTCTTTTCTTAACCCTTTGTCTCTTTAAGCTAAATTCTATGTGAATTGTTCAGCACTCTTTCAACTCGTCATTTTCCTTGTATATGCACTAAGTCTAATGTCTATGAAGTTTATTCTGGCAGATAAACACAGTGGTTACACCTGTAATCCTGGCACCAGAGCTGAGGCAAGCATATCATTAATTCCAAGTCAGGCTGAATTGCAGCAAGACTCTGTCTCAAAGTCAACAATCTACTTCTATGACAATGTTTTTCATTTCCAAAACCTACAACCAGTTCTTTTTCATATAGCTGAAATTCCCAAATATTTACAAACAGTTTAGATTTTTATTTTATTGTAAGAGTTTGACTTATTCAGTTGCTCTTTTCATCACTGCAGCACTGTTTCCCAGGACTCTAGCTCTTTCTTTCTTTCTTTCTTTTTTTTTTTTCTTTTCTTTTCAGGGAAGAGAACAAACGCAGTCCCCCACTACCACAATTTATGCAGTCCAGTTTCCTGCATTTGGGGAAATCACAGGGATCTTGAGTGCAATGGATAAGTCTCGCCGTGGGCAAACCACCTTTGTGATCATGGTATCTCCCCTGCCAGGTAAGTAGTAAGCTGCCTGTCTATAGTAAAGTGACTTTGTTGTCTAATTTGGCTTCTTTCTTTTCTCCTTCTAGGAGTATAGATTCACATTTTCTTTGAGTTAACTGAACATAGTTGCAAACACTTTTGTGAATTCTTTGTCTGGCAGTTCTTGCAGCTCATTTTCATTAGTGACCGTTCTTATGGTATTAGTGGTTTGTAGGTGAGGTGTGTTCTCTTGGTTTTTCCCGGTGTTTCTGTATCTGGTCTGGGACTTACCCACCTTGTAGTGTTTGTTGATGAGTGTTCCTTCCTTCCTTTCTTATTTTTTGATCGGCTCACCTTTCTTCTTTCAGTGATACAGAAGGTCATGAGGGCTGGGCAGCAAACTGGAGCAAAGTTCCTAGCTTTTTGTTTTTATGGAGCAACAGAACATGTGAATCTTTTGCTTTTTGGATCAACAGAACATGTGTATCTTTTAGTCTTTGATTTGTCCATAAAATATATTAATCTCACAAGGCATAACTTTTGTTCTTATTGGTTTTGTTACATGTTGCTCCAATTATTTTTAATTGTTAATGGAACCATATTTTGAAGGTTTTGTCTTTGTTTTTTCTCCTTGGTGGCTCACTTCACCTTCGGTCACCTGTGGATCCACAGAAACTCTGTCTTGCCTCTCCCAGAATGCCCAGTATCCAGGATCAAGCTTTGTATGATGGTCCTACACAGCAACATAATCTCTGATTTCCCACCCTGATTCCACTCCTGCTTCTCAAGACTCACAGATCAAAGTAAACTATTGCCCCCCCTAGGATCAGGGAACTTCTTTTAATCACCCTTTACAAAAAGTGAAACCACACTGCCAAGCTTCAGGAGGTTAGTCTATTCTGTGCCCATTCAACTTTTTGTGTCAACATCCAGGGGATCAAGGCTTTAATTCAGCTGACTACATTTTCTGGTTAACTCTTTCCAGGGCATAATGCCATCCTGTTTACAACTCTCACTCTGACTTTTCTTTGTTTATTCCTTCAACGTCTTATACCTGCCATCTTTATGTATTTCGAATAATGGGCAAGCACATACTGTCATACGTTAACATCAAGACACAGAATTCTTCAGGATAAAGATTCTTAGCAGGAGATTATCCAGGTTGAAGTGACTAATAGGGCTAACTTTTAAGGTTTCTCATACAGTTAAACTGCTCTCCCAGTATCAATTTTCATGTTCCTCAGTAGATAACTCCCATTTTTCATTTACTCAAACAGCAGTTACTACCAAACTTGTACTGTTTGGACAAAATGACTAATGAAAAGCAAGCTCTGCTGTAATTTACATTCTTTGTGAGTCGGTTAAATAACTCTTCATATATCTATTAACATTTGTAGTAGCTCTTTGTGAAATACATGATGGGGCCTTTTATCCATTCCCCACCCCACACCCCACACCTCCCACCCCTGCTTATACCTTTCCTTGGTCTGTAGCTATTAATCTACTCGGTTACTACGCAAGTACAATGAACTCAAAGTCTATATGATTTGATCATTTAGACTTTCCTTCATTTCTTCTTTTGCTGAGCAGATCTCTAGGGAAGGACTGGATCTCCAGCAGAGCTGCCTTCATGCATCCCAGATAACATGACACTTTCCATGTTCTCTTTAACTAAGACAGCAATACTTGGCCTAGGATTCCACCAAGCTAGCTGCAATATTTCCTGGTCTCAAAAAGTTCTCTGTCAAGGGAAACGTTTCAAACTCAATAAAAACCACAGATTCAAAATAATATACTTGAGCTCCTCAGATAACTTGAAAAACAATCTACTTGTCCTATTAACTTAACTTTTTAAGTTATAGTTATAAGTTATAAGTTATAAGATTTAAGTTATAAATATTATATATATATATATATATATATATATGATTTTCAGCTGTAATCATCATTTTAGGGAATGTATAGTCCAAGTTTCAAGTGGGAAATGGTCTCCTGAAGAAAACTGTCAAATTAGTGAAAAAGCAACTAAGGTAAAGCAAAAAGTAAAGTAACTGGAAGTTAGAAGTAACTAGAAGGAGCAAATGGAGGCTAAGAGTAACTGTAGGTTAGGGGTAACTGGAAGGAGTAACCAGAAAGGACTAAAAACTTTTCAAGGAGAAAGTTAATATATCTAAAGAATATGATATTACTATCAAAGCAGTACATACGACAAAATAGTATGTTAGATCCTTTTCCAAGGGACAGTGACTGCAAACAGTTCCATGCATTTGGCCCGCCCACGCATGGCACTGCATGCATGCAGACACTAAGTTCTTGGAGCTGGCTCCGTGTCCTGAGATGGTTCTTACTGAGGTTCTCTTTCACACAGAGTACAGGCCAGGATTCTGCAAGTGAATATAACAACCAAGGCAATCCCATCCCAAACTTAATGAGTCATTGCAGAATTTAGGAAACCCTTGCTGCCCATTCTACTTACATGCTAGCTCTGAGGCCCTAATAATACACCCCTTTGACATTTCCAAGAGGAAAATACCTCCTGTTGAGAAGAAAATCTCAAGTTCTCTCAGCTGAATTCGGGGCACTTAACACCTTGGAATCATACACCTTGGTAGTCCACCAAAAGGTCAGATGATGGGGGCTTCATGAGACTTCACAGGGTCTGGCCAGGCTTTAGCACAATCAAACCTAACACCTGCTAGCAGTCCAACTGTAAATAATCACACTTGAGACCAGTAGGATTTCTGATTTCTTTGTAATGATACAAAGCTTCAGCCATTAAACCAAGATCCAACAACCTGCCATGGGAAAGAAGATGAACATGCTGCTGCTGTAAGGTCATCAGAAGTGACCTTGGTGATACTCCATTCAATAAGCGTTAGCTCTCTAGTCCTGTGTGGGCTTCTGCTGCTTCCAAAGCAAGTGCTGCATAATCAGAGGACGTCTCCCCTTGAGTAGCAGCAACTGAATTATAGGAGATGGGATGTTACCTTAACAACAACAAAAATATAGCTCCTGACACAGTTACATCAACTGGTAGTTCTGTCTGGCAGTGATGAAAAATTAGAGAATAATATCTAAAGGAATGACTTATTTTAAACTACCACAGAAGTTTATAACATAAAACAGGATTCCAGAAAGTCAATATGCTCTCTTTATTCTCACTACTTCTCAACTGAAGCATTGACTAGAACCCGGTAACTTCATTAGTGTAACTTCATTTAATCTTATTTCCAGACATGCATTTGATGCTCTGAAGTTTTTGTTTCCAATTATATCATGAAGAATAATCCTAGTGCATTAGTTACTTCTCTCACTGTTAGGACAAAACACCTAAGTTAAGTAATGTAAGGAAGGCAGAGGTGGTCTGGGCTCAGTCTCCACAGCAGAGAAGTCCTTCAGGCTGCCTAGTCTCAGAAGGAGGTTATTCCCGTTACAACCTCACTTACCGTTGACCCAAACCTATTTAAACCTGCCTTTGCATGTCATATCTTGAAAATCCTTACCAGCACCTGGGAGTCAACAAGACCAAAATCAAAGTCAACATTTTCCTTTCTAGAATTTTGTGCTCCCAATGGTGCTGTTTCTAATCAATAGCACCATTGGCCTAACATACAATTGGGAATTCTATTCCCCTGCTCCTCCCCCTCCATTTCACTCACATTTATTAACTTCGAAAACTATTTTACCTACCATCCTTTAAGTAAAGACAATGACTCAAAGCATCCATGTTTACAGAAACATTCATTATTCACAAGAGCCTATGATGGAGGCAACCCAGTGTCCACAGTGCATGAACACTGAGCAAACTGTAGTTTACATACACCAAGGAATATTATTCATCCTTAAAAAGGAATAAATTTATACATTCTACAACATAGATAAATCTTGAAGACATTATGTTAAATGAAAGTAAACCAGTCACAAAAGGACAAATATTGTATGGTTACAAAGGCATTGGGTACCCAGAATAGTCAGCTTAAAGAGGTAGATAACTGGGACTGGAGAGAGGACCCAGGTTCAATTCCAGCATCCACATGGTGGCTCAGAGCTGTCTGTAACTCTAGTTACAAGGGATCTAGCCTTCTCTTCCACCTTCCATGGGCACTGCATGTACATAGTACACAGACATACATACCAGCAAAACAACTACACATAATACATATTTTTAAAGGAGAGGCAGAAAGTTACAATTGTACAGACTAGGAGTTGAGGGAAAACAGAAATGAAGCTATTCGGTGTATATAAGGTGCAGTCATATAAAGTTTCAGTAGGTGATGATGAGAAACTGGAGGGGGACACTAGAGATGGGTGCACAATAATTCAGTGGCTTAAGGGCCACTGAGCTGCTTCATTAAAATGGCCAGTTTTGTGTGCATTTTGCCACAATTTTTAAGTATTAAAATTCTATGAACA